GCGAACAATGGATAGTGGTGAACTTTCAAAAAATAGTAAAAAAGTTGGTACAGAATATAACCTGTAGATAGTATTTTGCCCGCAAAAGTAACTACATTTCCTACCCTTCGGATGTACACAGATTAAAACTACTAATACAGATGAAATTGATTCGGAATCTAATGACCTGGAAGAGAATGATGAGAAAGAAATTAAAAATCTCATAGAGGTATTTTGGAATTTTTACTCCCAAGTATAATATTTCTCTCACATTTAATCAAAAATTAATAATTATTTTTTATCATAGGATAAGGTACAGTATATCTTATAAATGATCAATATACATCTTAAAGATGTTTCTCTAAATAGGATGAATTTTTTTATTTCCTTAGAAAAAATGGGATCTTAGACCCCCGAAAAAATAAATTATATTGATGTGTCAGATTCTGATTTATCAGAGAATGATTCCATTTCTCGAGAAGGTACACCATGTTCCCCATGTATTTTGAATTTATATATGTTATTATTAATAATTATATCAATTAAAGAACAAGAAAACACCATTGAAGAAGAGGATGATAGATACGATTATTTTTCGCCATTATCTGTTTTGCAAAAGTATCGTGTAAAAGAAAACACATCTCCTTATGAGTAAGTTATAATAATAAGGCACTGTTACCTTTGGATTATCATTTATGTTTTATTTATAATTTTTTCACAGTTATATTTTGGATTTGTCACCAACATCAAAAATAAAAAATGAATTCAGTTATGAACAGTGGTCCAAATTATTAAAAAGACCCAATGTAATCAAGAAAACTAATCATCACGAAATAGAACCATTTATTAAACACCTATTTTATAATGTAAGTATATGTATCATTAAAAGTGTAATTTTGGATTATATTAACATTTTTAAATTGTTAAATATTTAGATGGATTTATCTCAAGCTCGTTCGAAATGGGATGAACTTCAAAATATAAATGCACCTGAATATAAGAATGAGTTTTCATACAAGAATGACGAATGGAAGAAAATACGATGGTGGATCCATCAAGTAATTGGGCAATTGTATGTTTAAGTATTTATATTTTTGCAAAATTTAAAGAAATGTTTAATAACTGTTTATTGTTATAGCCTGGATGCATTTGAGTCATTTCAAAACCCTTTATTAGAACACAATTGTAACGAACGTCAATGGACAGGGGATTATATAATTCCTCTAATGCAAGGTGTTTTAAAATTAGATGGTAGATATCTTGCCCTTTGGTAAGTCAATTATCCATATTACTGGCTAAATTGTATATAGAATAATAATTTTTCATGTTCTTGATATATTTAAGGGGAGAAGCTTCGGTTTTAGCAACTCAACGGTGTCGTAATAATAATAAAGATATAAATACTAAAAGAGTAACACGAAGTCACCTAGCCGATTTTTTATGCAAATATGAACAAAATGAAATAGTCTGTGGGCTTGTATGTGGGGGGCCCACATTTCTATGATTTAACAAAGTACTTCTCTGACAAATTTAACTTGTCACGTATGATGAAGGATATGTTGGATGATTTGATGCTAAAATTTTATGCAAATGATAAATTATTTATAATTGGGATTCGGGTATTTTTGCAGTGTAATAACTTCGATTTAGATGCGAAAAATTATTAATTTTCTTGCATTAAACAGGTTTACATGACAGAAGTTCAAATTTACATTATGGAAAAGCGAGAAATATATTTCTTCATTATTTAAAATCGTTTAATTTACCGATATCATTTTCTTCATATAATAATCCGAAATTTGCATTAAGAACAATGTGGAATATCTAGGTGAGTTTTGGTTTTTTATCATAATTATAGCATGAAAAATTTCTAATTGATATTTTGATTAATAAAATATAGGGATTGGTCAATTCTCTAATTTGGAAATTTGATATTATTTTGGAAGATAATGATGGGTTTAAGACTCCTCCACTATACTTGCACACAAAATTATTTGAGGTCCGAAATTGTAATTTTGGGGAAAAAAGTCAAAATAGTTTTTCATAGAAGACGAAATTATTTTACTTAAAACCCGAAATTTTTTGACCACCCAGATTTATTCTTTGATTAAAGATACATATAACTGGGTACTTTTTTTATTTCCATATATAGAATAGATTCTGCATAAATCTCAAAAAGTTGAAATATCTCAAAAATCCAAAATCAATTTTGGAAACATGTACAGTATATCCTCCACCACGTGTTTCAGATGATATAAAAACCCAAGTAACACTACCAAAGCAATCAAAGAAAAAATAATTATTGTATATTTTATGATTAAAATTTTTTAACATAATGAATTGACTTTTTCTCTGATTTTATATGCTAGTCAATAAAACAATAAGGTTCAAGTATGTATTTTTGAGCATATGATCAGTGTGTTATGAGGAAAGTCGATAATCTTATCAACAAAAATATTTTGAATATGCCTACAGGCCAATGTGGTCAATATAATCAATGTTTGCTCTCTAGATTTTTTGTCACTCCTTCGATCCAATATTTTTGGTGACATCTATTTCAAATTTAAGTTCGGATAGTATTCAATATGTAGTATTTCATGTTAGGAGAAAATATATAAATGTAAAATTGAATGAGATCAAGCCATAATGTCGTGTTCTCAAAGTTTAGCACATTTTTTATATATAATATTGTAAAATGTGACCCTTATGAAATAATTAAAGTTTGCTCACATCAAGCAAAAAAATTTGATATGTAACATTATTATTGATACATTAGAATAAATCCTAAAAAAAATGTATTTTGTGAGAAAATATTCTTACACATCAATAAAGGTTTAATCTATTATTTTGAGAGTTATATAATAAACTTTGATTTTTCAATGTATTGTGATTAAAAATTAATAATTTAGATATTGAATTATCTAAGCTTTTGGTTAATTGGTTACTGAAACCCTTAATTCTTTGTATCCTTTCAGAAATAACAATTTCTGGTTTTTCATATCTTGAGAAGAAAAATTCCATTATCTTGATATATACATCTTTTTAATCAATCATGATTAACTATATCCTTGAGTTTTCTAACATCCTTATACCAGCCAGTATTGTGGAATCAGTACTGACTTCCTTGTACCTCCAATACAATTTGATATTTTTGAAAGAAGGTATTAAATTCCAATCCATTCAAGAAGAGAGGATGATACTCAATTATCAGTTCCTCATTAAGAATTTCCTCAGCTATTTGAATACATTTACTTTGGAATTTGTGATTTTTCTTACCAAAGGCAGTCACAAGGTGAGATTCTGATTTCTCTATAATTGGTTTTAATATTGCATTCCTAACCTCAAGCTTAAGAATTGTAGCCATAATATGTTTAAAGAGGGTTAGATACTGCAAACCAGTTTTTAATTTTACTATATCAGCCTTATTTTTAGTATATTTTTCTAGAAAGTGATTTCACTTTTGTATAAAGAAAAATTTTTTACTTGTGATAAAGAAACTAAGGAAAAAGCTTTTGGTATAAAACTCTTAAACAGTAAATTATCCATAATAGAACATATGTTTAAGAGATTTCCTCTGGTATATAAAAGTAACCTTTGTGTATTATTATGCACAATCTGTCAATATAATTTGAAGGTTTAGTTTATTTATTAAGACTTTATAACTTATAGATCAAACTTTAAGTGCGTTTTATTTAAGGGATTTCAAATACTACATAATCAGTTTAATAAGTAAGTTCTTTTAAAGCAATTAGGGAGTTTTATTATATCAAGTTAGTTTGTGACTTATACAAGATACAAGAGATAAAATAATACAATAATAAAACAAGAAATATAAGATAAATATATGGTTTATTTAATAATATGAAGATAAAATAATAAGAAATAATACAAAAATAAAATGAGACTCAAATTAAATACACAATTTAATTATTTTGTCTCAAGAACAAAAACCAAAAGAAATATAAAAGAAAATAAAACTAAACTAGGTCTGTCTATCCTATCTGCCTGATAGGAAAAAAAATCCTTTATTTATAATACTCAAGCTACTGTACCTCAATTACTTTCATGTAATCAAAAACATTTTAAATTATTTCTTTGTAACAGGAGATGATTACTAGAAGTGAATATCATCTGAGGTAATTATCTAAGATATTTATCTAATATCACCAAATGTTTCACTAAATAGATATTCATTGGAGATATTTATCTCTCTAATTTGCATTACAAATAATAAATAAATGATAAACAAATAAAAATACAAATAAAGAAATAATAATAAAACTGATAATAAATAATATATAACTAGATAATTAAATAAATATAATTTAATTTAATAAATTTTCATGCATCACAGTATGTTGTAATAAAGAGGTAAAAAATCATATGCATATATTCACTTGTGAAACAAATTAGTTGACATTGAAATTTTCAAAATAAATTTATTCATTTACTAGTAGATCAAATTAATATCATAGTAAAAATTTTTCATGTAAGGGTATCACAGATTTAATCAACAGTTTACAAAAAATCAAAGTCATAAATAACCAGGTTACTAAAAACTCAAATGAGTTTTCTTTCATAGATGTCTTATTTAATTTATTACCTTTATCTTTACAAGAGTTAATTCTCTTCTTGACAGATAATATAGAAGAAACAAGTTAAATCTTATATGCTGTAATAGAGAGATATAAAAATTATATATATAAACATATTTGAATTAAAAGATATAATAAAGTTAAAAAGTAGAAAATTGACAATAGTATCAAAAATAGACAAAAAAAAAATTAGTTCTCTTATAGTAACTAATTTGGTAACTAGTATAATGTCTACTAATTTTAAAAGTAATAATAGAGTTCATAAAGATAAAAGACTTCTTAAAAACATTTGTTTTAATATAGTGAAAAAATATTTATTTCAATTTATTCAAAATAATATTAAATAAACTAGATTATATAAAATAAAACTTTAACATACTGAGTGTAGCTGTTATTATTAGGTGGTAGACTATAGGCATGTCTTTTTTGGAGTTAGTTTGAGTCTTATTTTTACAATAGTTATTAAAATAAATTATGTATTTATATTATGTAATAATAATGTGAAAGACTTTTTCTTTTCTTAATTAATAAATTTAGAGTAAGGTCTTACTAGAACTTTAAAAAAAAAACAGTATTGAATTCACAGATCAAATATAAAAGATATTCATACTAAAAAGAAATTCTGATTTTAGCTGATCATAATATAAGATGTAATAAAACAGTCAATTGTTATCAATTTTTAGTTGATCTATAATATAGAAATTACTATTTAAAATAGTAATTCTTTTGTATTTAACTAGTGATTAATAATTGGATTCAGTTAATAAAATGTCAATCTGAATTAAATCTGAATTTAATCAATTTAAATTAAATTGTCACATATGAACATACCTATAATTCAATTTCAATTAACTTGACACAACTCAAGTTAAACTGAACTATAATTTGATCAAATTGAAATCAAACCAAACTAATGACTTGAAACACTCAAATTGAACTATAGGTACTGTCCAAATTCAAAATACTAAATTCCAAATTCCAAATTCCAACTTTCAAATTCTAAATTATTAATTGTCAAAATCTCAAATTCCAAATTATGTCAAATTCCAAATTTCAAATATTATGAAAACTAAATTTTGATAACTAAATATCAAAATAATTTGGAATTTGGATAACATGTATAAATTAAACCAGATTAATCCTATTAATGTCCATTCAGTTTAACTTGCACATGTCAAATACAAAAAATATACTATATTAAAAAGAAATTTCAATTTAGTTGATTTATAATATAGGATATAATAAGACAATCAATTTTGCTAATATTTAATTAATTTATAATATAAGAATTCTAATTTTTAATATAAGAATTACTATTTGATATAGTGATTCTTTTGTATTTACCTAGTATTGCAGGTCAAATATAAAAGAATTTTTATACCAAAAAGAAATTTGATTTTAACTAATTTATAATATAAAATATAATAGGATAATTAATTTTTAGTAATTTTTAGTTAATCTATAATATAAAAATTACCATTTAATACAGTGATTCTTTTGTATTTGACTAGTATTGAATTTAATAATACTATTTATATCTAGAGATAATTAATTTTTATATTTATATTATATAATTGTATTTAATTTATTTATTTTTATTTATTTTTTAATAATACTAAACAATAATAATATTACAAATTAATAACTTAAACTATTTAATAAAATAATGGTTAACTATTATATTAACTTCAAAAAAAAATATTATTATAGTTATAAATAATATACAGTGGTTCACAAAAGTATTGCAACAAAAAAAAATTATCTTTGTTATAGTATTTTTCATTAATTTTAATAAAAAATATAAAAAATTTTTATATTTTTATATTTATCTTATCTTAAATTTAATATTAATATAATGATTATTACAATTAACATCTTGTATCACCTGATGTTAATTGATTTTATTTAAAAAAATTATTATTTTAATTTTTAATAATAATAATAATAATAAAATTCACTTTTTTCTATTAAGGAAAAACCATTCACAAAACTTTTTTTTAATTAATATATTTAAAAAAACTATTTATGAAACAAATGTCTACTGAGAAACAAGCTAGGATAGTTGCGCTTCTTTAAGAAGGAAATACAATTCACTATATTACTCATGTCAAAGGTGTTTATTTCTCTATTGTCTTTAGAATAGATAAACAGTTAAAAGAGATAGATAGTAATGAAAATTAACCAAAATTTGGATATTTACATTTAATTACTGGCCATAATGAATAAAAAGCGT